TGTCCAACTGGTGTCTTGTCCAACTGGTGTCTTGTCCAACTGGTGTCCAACCAATTCCAATGGGGCCAAAGGGGTGCCTCTTAGAGGCGGTGGCTGAAAACCCCTTCCTTTGCAACTGCTGGCAGTCTCTAGGACACCCGGTTATATAACCAGCAGGACAATCCACTCCGGTGTCCGGGCTGGGGATGGGGTCCACGTTGAGGCCACAAGAAAAAGCGACCGAAGCCTATCATTTCGTTCAAGACAAGTGGCAGCCAAAACGACCTTTGATCTTCAGAATCGTCACCAAGCCAAGAATTGATGCAGATTTTTTGGACCACTTCTGGGTCTGATTCTCCAGAAGAATGACAGACTATGATTCTGATTCATTCTGATTCTCTATAGATAAATCCCTCGCCCCTTCCCGACCACACCTGCTGTCAGCCAGGCTGAATTCAATCACCTGGGCGCAGGTCATTGAGAAACTCTTCGGTTCTACCAAAACTCTTTGGTTCTTCAGGTGTTCGATTGGTCAAGAGGCGATTGAGAAAGGATTGGAACAGATGTGATGTCCACTTGAAGAGGCTGGACTTGGATAGAGCCCTTGAGCCCGTCTTTCTGCGCCCAGCTATCCGGAAAAGACCTGGTTTTGTGACAAGATCCTGAGTAAAACAATGGCCGGTTGCTCTGTAAAGGCTATTAAACATCAGTGGAGTAACACGCTGTGCCTCCACGTCTCACTCGTGGCTGCTGGAGCGCGTGGGTCTAGTCAAGGCTAGAATCTGGGTGCTTGGAACCCAGGGCCACGCAGCTTCCTTCCGCCACGCACGACCAACGCGTTCCAACGCCGAGACGCTCGGACGATGTTGAGGCGCAGCGGCGTCTCCCGCCCTGGGCGGTCGGCGCGGAGAGTCGGCGCGGGCGCCGGAGAGCGGGCGACGGTCGACGGTGGAAGAGCCCGGCAGGGGACTGAAGATGAGCCAAAGGAGATGGGGAAGCCTCCGAAAGGAGATGGGGAAACGCTGCGATGCGGAAAACCAGAAAGAGGCGATGTTCCTCTTCCGTGCGAGTTCAGGACAAACGTCCCCAAACCCGAGTGCTGATATAATTCTTGATGTGGGTCCGGGTACAAATGTGTTCCTAAGATATAATATGTGATGTTGGATGATGAAAAAGATAAAGAACATAATAAATGGTGTAGGAATTTCTTGATTCCAAAGCTAGTCTTAATGGCTGTAAGGGATGGATTGCAAAGATATAATTCCTGTCATCTTTTGGTTAGTTCGTTTATCCTTTTCCTTCTTGATTATGAATGATGATAAAATACAGGAAATAAATTATAAAAGACCATGAAAGAGAATAGTAATAATCGGGTTAGAGGTTATAGCTCCCAAAATAAGTAAGAAATAATATAAAATGAATCATGAAAAGAGCGATCATCAAGATTATCAAAACGAATGACAATGGGATCGGTCTTTGGGTACCTCCTAAATTTAAATAAAATGAATGAATAATAAAAATAGATAAGACTGGTCGAAATGAGGCATTCAGATCTTGGATGTTCTTGGACACTTGCTTCATCATATTCTTGGAATTTGCTGTTACCTATTGGTGGCCTGTTGGAGGGTGCTGGTACCCGGAGTTCGGGAACTTCCCTTGACTGAAGAGTGGTGCCAAGCTCGTGGAGTTGAGCTGACCAGCTCAGATGGCACGGCTCAGTGAGCGACCTTCACCCCAAAGACCCCAAGAAGCACCACAGCTGGTGACCTCGATCCTCGTTTCGCGAACCAGATCACTGCGCCTGGTGCTGTGGCTGGTGCTGCACCTGCAGCAGCGATTCCGGGACGAGCCTGTGATGGGACGAGTCTGAAAAAGACCTGCACCGTGGCACCGCAGCCATGGTGGAATTGTCGCATATTGGGGGTGTCAAGGTCTCCTCGTTTCACCGCAGTGGACACTTGATTCAGAACATATCGGACTCGCTCAGTTTCCCTTGGAAAATCAAGTTTCATGAGAGTCAAAGACTATAAAAAGAATGGTCTTTAGGGGACCTGAAAGGGATTTTCCTTTACTTCACTCCGGGAAAGCATAGTCTTTGGACTCCCAGGATTAACCTTTTGTTTTCTTTTTTCATCTGTCATGTTCTATCTTAAGAGGTTGGAATCCGGTGATCCACTGACTGAGGAACGCTGAACATTTCACCCACAACATGTTCCTTTTCGGAATATCTTTTCGCCCACTGACCCACTGAGCAAGAGCATCCCTCAAGTCACATCATCTGTGGTTTTTTACACCCAAACATGCCATCATCGCCCCAACGCCGCGCGAAACCAGCTTCCGCCACTGACCAGCCCTCGACGCGGCCTGCGGCACCAGCAGCTGGACCGCCCTCATGCGTTCGCCGGAGGGTGTCGGTCGCAAGACGCCGCCATCGCCCAGACATGCCCAAGCCATATATGCCTACATTGAACACTCTCAAACCACCCCTGGCCTGATCGGCAAATCAATCTTGCCAGTCCCATGGATGGTCTAGGTCTAGGTTGTGCCGGGCATGGCAAGAGCCCCCCCAAAAGTGTGGTCGCACCGATTCGTGGCGCGTAGGTGTAAAGGCTTGGCACTCCCCTTCACCATCCCCCTTGCTCCGACCAACCACTTCAACCTCAAAAACATCCCCACCCCAACCTCCGGATCCTTCAGCCCATTTCGCTTCCGTGTCCACAATCCAACCAATGGAGATCGGTCCCACCTGCATCACCTGGTTGATGAGTTGGTGCACCACGCCAGCCACCTGCTGTGCCGTGCTCGAAGCAATCGCCGTGGCCACCGGAGGCGCCACCGGCGCGGGCCCCGCGCCCGCGAGGCCGGGGCCGGGACCGCCCCCACCGGGGGCGGGATGCGGCGCAGGACCCGGCACAGGCAAAAGGCCGCCGAGGAGGGGTCCAGGAAGTGTTCCTGGACCGGGGGACATGTCCAGGAAGTCCCTTCTAAGAGGACGTGGCACGCGTCTGTTTCCGGGGGTTTGGCGGTGAGGCCAAATGGTGCCGATCCACAGCCCTAGCTTGAGTCCGAGATATATCAATCTGCCCCAAGACTCTGGGCAATCTAAATGGAAACAGTTTTGGGGGCCGCGAAGGTGCTGGGTCCAAGGATTCTTAGGGTGGGAGAGAACGAAGCAAATTACACCAGCATCAACCCCAGATAGTAGCGGCAGCTTGATGTTTCTTTTGCCAGCAAACCTTTAATTATACTGTATAGTTTATTAAAGTTTTGCCGCCAGCTTTGAAGCATGAGAAACCAACGAGCGGGGGGACGAGGAGACAAAGGGAAGACAAAGCAGAATCCTCACACCCCGTCGCCCAAGAAGGGCCATGGGAAAGAAAGGGAGACAAAGCAGAATCAGTTTCAGCCATGAAAGACCAAAGGGGAACCAAGCAGGATCATCTCAGGCCAGCATCTAAACAACTTGGGCAACAACTTGGAAACAGGCAAACACAGCAAAACATCGTGACAGCCCAGAATCCAGAAGAGTGATGGGAGACTTGCAACAAGAATCATCTCACCCCAGCAGCCAGAAGAGCCATGTGAAGACAAAGGATACAAAAGGAGCCAGGTTCATGCAGGCTCTTGACTCTTGACTAATAACCCCTCTGAATTGGACATCCTCTTCATACAGGGGGGGTAAATATAATCAAGAGTCTACATTACACCCTAGCCTTCAAAGACCATTCAAAGACTGGTCGACCTGTGTTTGCAGTGTAAAATCAGTAGTAAAACAATGGTTGTTTGGCCAAGACCATTGAAACAATGGTTGTTGGACTCCAGGGTTACAGGTCCTAGTTCAGGTCACTTAGCCTCCACACCCTCGCTGCCGACTCGCTCCTGGCATGTTCTGCACCGTGGGCGCGGCGGGCAGCGCTGTCGCCGGCACGGCCGTGCCCACCGCCGTGCCGGGCACCGCAGGGCCGCCCAGCAAGGGCATGGTCACCGGGCCCTGCCGGCGATGGAAGGATGGGTGAAAAGCCAGGTGAGGCAGGGGGGTTGGACATAGAACAAGAAAGTCGTCTTTTTTTGAGGACCTGCCCAGTGACTGAACTTCAGGATTGGTCAGTGACCTTTTCAAGACCTAAGCGACCTCATTCTGGATCTCAAAAGGTCACTGAGAGGGTCGTATCTTGACGGTTTTGGACGTTGGAAGACCATCACAAAAAAAAAGAAACAACTCACACTCAGATAAAAATGCATAAAGACGCCTGATTTATTTTTGGGATCCATGGGAATTATCAAACAATTCGTCGCTTCCATGGGGAATTGTTGCAGTTGCCCCATCATCTGCGGGTGCAAGACCCTGCCCTGCGACTCCTACCAGCGCGACTCCTACCAGGAGTCGCAAAGGGGTGCCTATTAGAGGATAGGGGTGCCCATTGTCCACTCACTTAGGGACTAAAAACCACCACTTTTAAAACCACCCCTAGTCCTTCTTCATACAATTCCTTTTAAACGCTCTTCTCGCGTCGTTCCCAACAGTCCGTCTCTCCCCAAAGAAAGAACGCCGGTGGTACCACAAGCACCCAACATCGGAACGCAACAAAGGAAGCATCCAAGTGAACGCATGAAGCATCCACACAAAAATGTGTGAAGGTCCCAAAGTGAAAACCCATCCACCCCGACCAGAATCCACCCCTTTTCCACCGACCAGTGACCTTCCGTGGGTCGAATGTCAGCCTTCCAAAGTTGGTGAAATGATGGTTAAATGTATTTATATAAATGTTGCAAATGCTTGTCACAAGCGAAACCGCTCTCGACGTATGCGAAAGAAAGAAAGAAATGTTGCAAATTAAACATATCTTTGACGTTTCCCTGCTGACAAAGATGGGACTCTCAACAAGTTGAATGTTTCCATATATATATATAGGATGTTTTTTGACCGCCCCGCACTGGCCACACAAAATGGACTTCCTCCTTCGACCGCAGCTGATTCACTTAGATGTTGTAAGACCCAACAAGAACAGAAAAGACCATCTTCCTGAAATATTTCTCCCAAAAGGCACCGCCAAATTTCGGAGTAGACTGAGAGGGCACTCGCGTCCTTCTGTGTCGTTTTTCCCGTTCTTGGGATGCCTGAAATGGAGTCGGTGCAACTCCATTCGGCGGCGGTGGCGGTGGATGGGGAGGCGGAGGGATCACCTCGGCGGTCGCGGGCGTGGCATGAACCACCAAGCTGGCGATCGAGTCTTGGAGAGGTGGGGATGATCCAAAAAGCTGGAGGATGTCAGACCTTCCAACAGAGGTTGAATGACCAGAACTAGACTATCCCAGTCTGGTACCCCAGGTGACGGGTCCTATTTACGGTCACTTAACCTCTCTTGGTTGTATACCCCGAACTTCCGTTTTGACTCATTTTACTCCACCTGGTGGTTGGATTATGCTCAGGGATAGTCACAGCTTGCAACATTTGTCTTGAACATTGGTGTGCGGACAGCTCCAGCAAGTCCGTTGGGCAGTGGTTCGTGGAGCTGCATCTACCTCTCAATGACAAGAGATCGAAACTAAACGATGGCATCTGTGAAATGAACCTCTGTTTTCTTGTTTCCTTCTTTTCCTTCTTTAGACCTAACAATAATCTTTAGACCTTTTCTTCTCCCCTGAACCCGGAACCATGTCTTTTGATTGGAACCCAAAGATCAGAAGAAACCGGAATCTCTGCAGAAATCGGAGCACAGAGACGGCCGGCATTGCAAAGGACTGCGTGTCCACGGAGATGACATCAAGGCCATCTAGGTTGATGGGAAGCTCCTGAGCAAGGAAGGAGCGGTAGGGATCCAGGATCACCGTCCTTTCAAAGTGTCCAAAAACCATACCACCACCCAAACCAACTGCTAGATGTTGCTGAAGGGTCCAAAACTCACCTGAGTTTGTGAGGGTCCACCACATACCGGGCCGCTGAGGGTGCGGAAGAATGGATCCTTTCAGAGCCGAAATCGGCTGAAACAAACCTGTATCCTCTATGGCCATCCTGTCGGGCTGGCTCGTCCAACATACTCCACCCAAGCAGGATGCTCCTACCCTCCCGGTTCGACGGTCCGACGGTCCGATGTGCTGGTCCCGTCCGATGAACGCCGCGAAACCCATCGGTTTCGTCCGACCCGGCACCCTGCTTCCAGGCGACGGAACGCTCCGCGCCAGAGCGGCACTCCAAACACTCCTTGGCCAGTTGGCTCCACTTCTGCTGACGCAGCTGCGTCTCAAGCTTGTTCCGCAAGCGACACCAGAGGTCACACAGCTCCTTTGGAAAACAGCTCCGCGAAAGTCGGACCCCAAAAAAGGAGGTCATAAGAGCCGATGTCTCAAGACCTGCAGACCGAAACAACACAAAAGAAAAGATACCAGCAGTTCCAAGGGAATGGTTTTAAGTGCCTAAGTAAGTGGGTCAATGGCCCTTCTCCTCTAATAGGCACCCCCTTATCCTCCTGGTCTGTTCTGGTATGTCTGATTCCTGAAGGACTCCTCTGTCAAAGGGCTTGCGCCCCTCGGCACGATGGGACCACCGTAAGACCTTGGAATCCAGGCAGAGGTCTCCAAACCTCAAACCCAAGAAGTCTTTGGCCACCCTCACAACTTCCTCGTAACTAGAGTGTTTCTTGGCATGTTTGGACAACAAAAAATAAAAGGCTCCTAGACCCCAGACCCCTCCACACCCCAACGGCTAGGGTCACCCAAGCCGCCGACAGCCGCCGAATTCTCGGCCGTTCGGAAGAAACAGCTCTCCTTGGCCGAGGCCTCCATCTCCGGAAGCAAGGCTTCGATCTGCCACAGCTCGAGCTCCGAGGCCCGGCCACGCGCCACGCGTGTGGCACCCAACCTGGAGTCTGGAGAGGTCGGTGGGGGTCGGTTCTTCCGGGGGGTCACGGAAGAACCGGTGTGAGGCCGGGCCTGGCCCAGCTAGCTGGGCAAGGACAAGGATGGGATTCCAAGCAATCACCAAGGTTGGGATTGATGGTTTTGAATGGTACATGTTTTGACCAAACAACCAATTGCTTTACTTGACTGTAAGGAGCTTCAACGAAAACATACGGTCGACCACGTTCATGGTCCAACGGTGGGCTAGGGAGTTCAGGAATGTCCTTTTCTTCGGGTGGCGGTCCAAGACAGTCAAACAGTGCGAAGCCAGCGGAGCCGAGCGGAGCCATGGGAAGTCCCGGTCCGGTGTCCTGCTTCCGTTCGACAGAGTCCACCTGGCCGAAGTCACTGACATCTCCCCACCGTCCTCGCATTCCCTCAACACCGTCCTCACCCCCCAAAACCCTCTCCCCCAAACCCACCTGGAGACGATGCCGCCGAGCAAGCCATCCTTGACGCGCCAGAACCAGCCGTGGCTCGTGCAGCCCAAGCTCTGCAGGCTGCGGCGATCCAGCAAGTCCGGCAGCGCACCTCGTGCCCCGGGTCCGGGTGAAGGGCGCGGGTGCTCGTCTTCATTCGGCCGTGGTGCGTGGGCTGTTGTTGGGCACGTGAGACGTGACGGTGGGAGAAGACCCAACACCGTATAAGGGGTTGGGGGTCTCTGGTGAGTTCTTAGGCTTCCATGGATGTGGTTGGGGTGGTACTCTATCCTGTGTACACTGCACACTGAATCCAAACCCCTAAGCCACATGCATGCCTCAAAACCTGGACACGACCGACAGCTTCACGGAAAGGATCTCGTCCCGGTGTTCTTTTTTCGATGAACACCCAGAGAGGAATGGAGACCCCCACCCTAGGCTAGGCTTCCAACCAAAAATTGATTTCATAGGCTTTACCGAATCCACAAAGGATTTTACACTACAAAAACCAGGTCGTTCCCATTTTCTTAATGGTCTTGGAAGTCTAGGGTCCAGTTTCCAACCTCTTCCAACCCATGCTCCTCAGCTTCACCCCCAACCTGCCACGAGACGAGCGACGCAGTGCTCGGAGGCCTTCTAAGCTCGAAAGCCTGGGGCCTGCAGGGCTTTCGGCGCGGTCTGGACAGGGCACCAGGTCACCATGCCCAGGAGGGTGACGTCTACGGCGGTTCTACGCATGGGACACCATGCATGTCCCATGCATCAGTACGAATTGGCTAGGCCTAGGAGAGCAAAACTCTTATGATACCAATGGGTCGTTGAACGTCAGTGATCAATCGGACTGTTTTTTTGTGCGGTGGAGGTCTTCATCCTACAACTTCTAAAGGTTGCCCAAGTCCTGCTGACGTGGGTAATTGTCAACATCTGTGTGTGACGGTTGAATCCAACCGCAACTGAATCCTGCCGCAGCAGCAGTAACAGCTGCAGCTGCTGCTGCAGCCTCTTCACCCAGGTCAGACCTGCCCTCTTCATCCTGCCGCACCTGTGGAGGAGGACGCCTCCAACTGGCCCTCTGTCCTGTCAGCCCCGCGGCTCGGGGAGAATTGGAAAGGTCAAGGCTCAAGGGCTAGACTGCTTGGATGCTCAAGGGCACGAACGATGAACCAGGGAAGACAAGGCTTATGCAGTAGATAACACCACTTGCAAACCAGGGTGGAGGGCCTAAATCATCTCACTTTCTATCATTGCATGTTGTGTATAGATGTAATTATGATGTATTTATGTATGTGCATAATTATTCAGATTAATATTGTATTTCGCACAGACCTGGATCTTCCGACCCTGCGAAACCGTTTTGAACGCTTGCATCGGCTGGTTGACATGTCCACCTGTACCCCTGCCCTACAGTACAGTGGCTTCAGAGTATGGAGGTCCACATAAACCACCGACCTTGGGGATTGTGCCTTCTGCTCTGCTTCCCCACGAGACCGCCCACCCGATCTGGGCACGGCCTGGCTCGGACATGGCGTTCATCATCGCTCGGCTCGATCTCCTACGATCACGCGACGAAGCGACGCCCGCGGAGGGTACAAATGCTGATGGGTGGGTAAAAGGAGAGAATGGATGGTTGACACCGTTGACACCTATGAAATCCTATGAAATCCTAACATGCTTGGTTTGTGGCATCTGTACAGGTGGTTTGTGGCATCCGTGGTGATCTGCTGTGGCTGAACTGAATTGATGGAGAGCTGGGTGCTGCAAAAACTGAGACGGTGCTGCGAACGAGATAAACCGTGCGTTGTACGTCTGCTAGTTGATGACACTGCATACTTTTCAATCTGGGTGCCACGGCCGAATTGTTTGGCTCCTCCGGATGCGGTTCGGGTGATGAGTATTGCAAGAGATGACAAGCAAAGCCGTCATAGCCGCCGTCCTTACAGCCAACCATAGGAACAAACATGACACTTCAAGGGGCCCAGGAGGGACTCCGTGGTCGAGGACAACATCTTCCCAGACACCCCATGCTCGCTCCAACTCTAAGGCTTCTCCTTGCGTTTATGGCTGGCGCCATCTGCCATGACCGGATGACCGGAAGTTTTGGCACCCCTTGGTGGCACTGCTGCTTCGTTTGTCTTGTTCGGTTGACCAGCTCAGATGCAATCCAGAAGAGTCAAGCGGGCCTTCCATAGCTTGCCCGAAAGATCTCAAGTGCTCTAGAATGCTGGATTCAATCATCTGGCAGCTGTCATCTTCACACTTCTGTTCTTCGGATGTGGGTCCAAACACGCGCAGGTGTGCGGAATGCGGCGAACTTGTGGCGGCCGGGATTGTTTCATGAGTCAAACATGGAAGTCATGGTGGACATGATGGCATGGTTCCCTTACAATTTGCTCCACCCAGTCTATGTCAACATTCCAACAGAGGTTGAAGAACCCTAGTTCGACTATCCCAGGCCAGGGTACCCCAGGTTTTTCGGGGTCCTATGGTCCCGGTCACTGGCTACCTCTCTTGGTTTCATTGGAAAAAAACGGCGTTTGGTCCTGTTTCGCACCCCAGCTCCACCGCCGTGGCGTTCCTTGGGACTGAAAGCCCCCCCCCGGAACACAACCTGTACTGGGCGACGTAAGAACCAAGTGACCCAAGTGGTGGTCAAAACCACTCTGGTTTTCATGGCCAAAGGCTCTTTCCATTGGGGATCTGAGCCACTTCTGGTTCGGCTCCTCCCTGCGGCAGGCGCCAGAACCAGATCCGCGAGACCCGGATCCGCTATCAAGTCCGGAATTCGGAACTCCTGGCACCTCCTTCAGTGAAACCAAACCGGAAACCAGACCACGTGCTTCTTTCAAGCGGAAAAAAACAAAACCGCCTCCTTAAGCACTTCGGGGACTCGAGGGACTCCCCTATAGCACTTCGGGGACTCCGGGGACTCCCCTATAGCACTTCGGGGACTCCCGGCACTCTCCCTATACACTTCCATTTCTTTGGGGCTGGAGAACATGGGAGAACACCAAGCATCACCTGCGACCGACACCCGGAGGCCGCGAGTCGCGTGGGAGGCCGCGTGGCCGTCGCTCTCGCGAGCGTGGCACCTGACCGAGCTCCCTTTTGCTTCCAAACGGGTCTCCAAACCGGCGAGGAGCAACCGCGAGCAGGAGCGAGACACCGACCCGTCCTCGCTTTGGAGGACGGAGACCGGTCTCTGTGTTGAGTCGGACGAGAACAATCTGTACAGAGGGTCGTTCTGAACGAGAGGTGCACAGCATTGTTGCACCAGGAGAGGACTGGGGGGTGCACAATGGGGGCTTCACTGATGGTGAAGGCCACGGTTGAATTCTGGCAACATTCCACATTGGGTCGAACCGCAAGACACAAGAAAACAGATCTTGGAAAGAGGAGTACAAGAAATCAAGGTAGACCAGCAAACCCTTAAATTCGGACCAGGCTAATGCCTGATGCAGGCCTGAAGAAGCTCGCATCGCCACTTTCCAGTGGATTGTAAGAGCGAGGGTTGGGAGTCGCATCGTAACCTTAGCTGACTCCCACGGCTGAAAGGATCGCGGCTTTGAAAGGGTTCGGCATTTTGAGTCTACAGGCGGACGGTAGGTTCGGGTAGCTTACTGGCTGTCTTTTGGATCCAAAAAAAGGCAGTTTGAGTGTGAAGAGTAAGCAAAATGCGATGAACACTGCCAGGAAAACATGCGAAGTCTCTCAAATATGATGATGGATCCCCAAGGTCAACCGTTCCACCGGGGTGTTGACCTTTTTCAACCTTTTCCCTTTCAATGGGAGTCAAGGTGTTGTCGGGTCCCTACAGTTTCTCATCTCACACCACTGCAACTACCGCAGTGTGACCCAAAAATAGGGAACCAATTCTGGCCAGAGAGCGAGACCCCTCCAGCAATGAATTTGATTTCATCATAGTGCATAGTGTATCATTTGTACCCTAGAAGTCCAAAGACTATATTTTGACCGACTGAAGTAAAGGCAATTCCTTTGCGGGTCACCTAAAGACCATTCTTTTGATAGTCTTTGACTCCCAGGGTATATATTATACAAATTGTATATTTACGTTGTACTTTTACAAGTGCTTCGTGAGGGGCCGTTGCTTGAACACACACCAAACAACTAGAAAGCTCGCCCCTCCAAAGCGGTCCTTTTCGGGCCTCGAAACTGGCTAATTCATTAATTGAATGGTTAAATGGTATACCAATATCCATTCAAGTATTGTATACTAACGTGTCTTTCAGCATTATACCACCAATAACGATCCTTAATCATTAGCCATATAAACATATCTATCATACCTTCCATCAAATTCAAATCGGGTATCATCCAAATATCCTTGCAATGTAATTGCAGCACTCAAATAATCAGATTCTAAATCAGATACAGTCCACCACAATTCATTTGATATCACACAGTTACCTTTGTTTTCGAATTCATTTATCGTTTTTCTATCGTGGTTACGTTGCATACATTGTTCTGATCGCCAATAAATTGGTACTTTCAGATCTTCTATTTCAGGCACAAGTGTCGAACGCAGGTTCACAATCTTGTTACGTTTCTGTGTGTAACATTAGTGCTACAAAACAAGCATTGTTGATGCTGCGTTTGCATTTTGTGGCATAAAAAGTAACATGATGTATTAGTAGTAATAATTACTTGGTTGGGCAACAGAAGTGCTTCCAGGCGCCGGTTCCACGGTCAGAGGAAAAAACACCTGTACAAAGACGTCCTACCGTCCCCGTGTCCGGACAAAGAGTAAAGAGATGCAAATCCTCCTTCCTTTCCAACTAGAAATCCGGGAAGGGGACACCAAGTGACCAGAAGCCATTATCTTCACAGACCAAAACACCAGCCACTCTCCACTGCCCAAATGGCTGAACCAAACAGTCCAGGGGCCAATCACGGAGACCGCCTGCGGAGGAATCCCTGCAGATTCCAGCTCCGAGGACAGCACGGTCTGTACCGTGTTTGCATTATAGCCGCTGAGGGTTTGACAAATCTCCTGCGAAGCCGAAGAAGCGGAGGACACTGGTCACGTCTCCTGTGGTTGGATCGGAGCCTTTTAAGGGGATTGTTTGTGTACGTTTGTGTGCAATCCCTTTGTTTTTGAGGAGAAAAGGGCCCCGGACGGCAGGATTGCTTTGACAAAGATCTGGTCTTGCTACCCCAGTGGTTGGCCTTCCCTTCAGGATGGCAGCCACCAAATGAGAACGAACTCTGGTGGGTGTCCGGTTCCCGTGTCCGCTAGCCGGACACTGGCCGACTCGACCTAAAGACCTCCCTCCGGATCGAACCATCCCTGGATGGATGATGGGTGTGATACGACAAAGGTACATCACACCATCCCCTCCGTCTGACGAGTACCCCATCTGCTTCACCAACTCCTGGTTGTGCCCTGCCCACATCTGCTCCAGACACTCTCCCTGCCGAAGAGCTCCTCTGCAGATGAGTCAGACACTTGCACCTGAAAGCACACCCCAACGGTCGCGGCGGTCGTTTGCAGCAGCCGCGGCACTGCGCCCAGCACGCGAGAGAACAGCCGCCGGGCCTGCACAAAAGGATGAAAAATGATCAAAGTGAATCCGGCCAAACCAAAGGTCCATAAACTGGTACCTGGATTGACAAGTGATTTCTATAATTATGTGTGTTTATGTGTGCGCTTATGTTGCGTGAGAAAAATTCTCAAACCATCTCAAGCCTGCCAGGTGGCAGCAATTCTACACCAGTTGCACTGGAGGGAAGTGCCGTTGCCCCCGAGGGTGCCGTGATATCTCACGCTCACGGGTTCCACAAGTTCGGATGGGAACTGAACCCAATCCATTTCTCACATGGAAGTGCTGGAGTGATGGAACTGCAAAATGCTGTGGTTCCAAAATCTGACATGAATATCTTAAATCATGCTGGGAGTGACTGTATAATGACCAGGCATTCTGACATGGAAGTCCTAGCATATGTCGCCTGTCGTAGATGTATATAAGTTTAAGTCGTAGATGGTCTCTTCGTGACCCATGATCAACCACCTGGAACCCATTTGACCTGTGTCTTTGATAGGAAAAGACCATCTTCTTTTGGGTGTTTGGCGGTCCAGAATAGAGGTCATTCAGCTTTAGGCAGATATTCTACGAAGATCTGCGAAATTTCTCTCGTTTGGTCGAGCAAAGAAGGGATCATCTCAACTTCATCTTCTGGCTGAGTTGCCACCCTGTCATCACCGCTGATCCCCGCTTCACCCGAACCACCTTGGTGCCATCCCTGTCCGGCAAGCTCCTTATCGGCGAGGGCGACCGCGGCGGGAGGTCCAACGGTGCATGCACTGCCGGACTCTGGTTGACAAAAAATGGTCCTGACTACCATGATTTCATGCGTGATCCGAGTTCAGGGATTTCCTGAAACCTTCGGAGAACTGGATCGGTCAAGACAGCAAGGTCAGGTTTTTCACGTGCACAGCCTGTTTGGGGAGTTCCGGCACAGCCTGTTTGGGGAGTACGGAAAACGGAAGGGACGTGGGATGAATGTCCGGACGTGGTCGCTAATTCTACATCTTGGATGTGGCGACCAAGAATCCGGCTCTGCAACCTGCAGGTGTTGGTGATGCTTTGCACACAACGGTGTTGCCTTTCAACCTAGCCGGCCCTGGCCGGCCATGCGGGAGGTTGGATGGTGTTGTTTGGAGAAATTGCCATTTGGCGCGGCCCGACCATCGACACAATCCCCACGAACACCTCATCAGGCTTTGTGGGGTTGCAGTTTGGATCAATCTGAAAAAACCTGTGCTTGAGCACCAACTGATGTGAATAAAACAGACCTTTCAAGGAAGGGCGGGCGTGTCTCAAAGAACATCCCAAATTGTGTCACTTTTGGTGTGGTCAGAGAGGCACCGTAGCGGCAGTGATGGGAAAGGAACATGAAATAGAACCCACCCCGAGAAACCAAAACACTCCACCACTTGAAGCACTTGCAGACCACAGTTCCACCGACGTCGCCCCAATCTGATGGGTCTTGACAGTGAAAACTCTCTCAAACCCATCATTTGGAGGCACCCTCCACCATTCGACCCCCTCTGCAGGCCATCTTCACTGCTGGCAGGGCCGGCAAATCCGCCGGCATCGCCGCCTGAATTGACCGAACCAAGAAAAACAATTTTAGCTGTAGCTGTAGTTGTTGGCCCCCCAAAACTCAAAACCATCGGTGTTCAAATGGGTCTGGAAACCTGGATGCCCCCAGTTGCCCCCAGTGGCCCCCAGCTGTGCAAAAGTCTGATTCTTGCGTCTGTGAGGTTTTATGCACTGCAATTGACCCATCATTTGTCAATGGCGAAACAGAGATAACAAAAGTACTGTTTATAATTCCTCAGGGTCCAAGAGCAAGCGCTGCCAGTGTAAGTCAGTGTCATTCTTCCTTTGATTGGGTGCCAGCACAGAGCATCAAATGTTCAACCGTGCGTTGCTTGGGTCTGGAAAGCAGGTTCTGACAAATTCTTTGAAATACAAGAGGCATGCGAGCCGTCCTCACCCTTTTCTGACTCTTCATAGCTACACTCCCTGGAGTCATCATGAAAGTGAAAAAGTTGTTTGCAAAAGAAAGTGGTCATCCAAGGAACCATGTTCCACTTCCATAATTATTTCAGGGAATGTGTCCTTGAGGTACTTCGCAAGAAACCACTAGTTTGTGCAATCGCCTGAGACCTGTCTATAATCTATCCAAACCTTGTGATCTTTACAGTATGCGTATACATATATATATATATATAGTATTTATATATATATATATACACATCTCAGCTCCACTGTACCTAGGGGTATACGCTGCACACACCCATGTGCGCTTTGTTTTTCTACCCCTGTCTGGCGGTAATGTGTGGTCCCTCAGAATTTGTGCTGAATGCTTTTCAGCACTACCTGAACTCCGGCGCAGACACACTGCAAGGTGCATCCTTAGCCTCAGGATAGCCCCTGCATCTGCATACTGGATATACAAGAAGAATGGACACATCAACGAGGATGGCCAATTCTCCATAGCGGGGCTTTAAAAGCCCTGATGCATCATTAAACCTCAGCTGCACTGTATATAGGGGTACACGCCACTGCCGACACTCCCGTGCGCTTCTGTGGTCCGGATTTGTGCTGGAATGCTGGTTTTCAGCACTACCTGCCCTCAGGTGGAAACACACTGCATCTCCGGCCTCACCAGATAGATACCCAAGGCACTCTGCACTAGAAGCCCCGTAATTTTAACGCTTTAGGAAATTCTGCCCCCTGCATGATCAGGAGCGGGAAAGGTGACCTTGAAAGAGACACGTGAGGCTTGCCACATTGTCGATAAACCACACTCCACCGCGGTTTCCAAAAGAAGGCCACGAGCACCATCAACAATTGCTCCAACTGGGCAAGAAGCTGACCAAAGCTGGTAGATATCAGGCAGTATCTCCGCCACGTCCGCCATGATCAGGGGTAGCCGGACCCTTAGTATCTTGGTGCTCTCACGGAAGAGGGAGACCCATTCAGCGCACGTCCCGTGCCTGGAGCCATTGCAACCGCCGATGGGCAGGCAGGGAACATCGCCAAGTGGGTCGGCATGAAGTCCAGGATGGACAACTCGGTCTTGAGCTCCAAGCACCGCTGGCAGTTCCCGGCTGTACATGGCGCGCCGGATGGGCGCCGGATGGGGGGAAGGCCTTCACCTCACGACCCTCTGCCAAGAGGGTACGCTAGTGGCTGGTGGCCTCCAGCCACGCCACGGTATCCAGCAAGGGCGCCTCAGTATGGATAGCCACATCGATGCCAGGACGTGGCAGAAGTGGCATGGATAGGCCCACTATCCGCAAGATGAGTGTCACACACTCAGCAGTTCACCTTGAAAAGCCAGTTTGGCTCAAAAAGGCACCTTGAGCCAAAATGTACAGAGTCAAATACAATCAGTGAGATGAACCATGCAAACCCAAGCCTTCCTAACCTGATGCATCATTATACATCCAAGCCTTTAAAGACCATTGCAATAATGGTTGACCTGGCGAACACAAAAAATAAAATGGTTGTCCGGTTAAATATATATATATATATTAAATCAATGGTGTTCCAATCCTAGGGTATCCGGGTATACTCATGATATCTATATAATGATATTCTTTATCCGAGGTGCGTTGGCACAATTGATGATGAGCTCCACCATCGCAGCAGCAACTCCGCTCCCTGACAGCCTTGCGATGGTTTCCTGCCGCGGTTTTTTTTCGCTTCGCTCGCGCGCGGCTGAGACGCCACGCGTTCGGAAAGGGGATGCGAAACAAAGTTCCATGTTGCTGTCGGCCTGTGCCATCGGCCATCATGAACCAACAAAAAGGGTTCTTCAACAACGGTTCGAGAGAAGCGAAAACTCTTGGGGGGGATCAATCAAGGATTCTCTTTGTGTGACACATGCAAGGACCTCCAGTACCCTCTTTTACATTTTTTACCTACCAAGTGGTCAAGAATCGTTCACTGAAAGAAACCAAAGGGCAGTGACAAAAACCTTGTTACACGCCCTAAAACAATCATGGAAGTGGACAAGCCACTGTTTGGTATTCGGATTTCATGGTGTTTCAAGGTGCCAGGACGGGAGGGTAGGTAGTTGTGAAAAGAAAAAGACCACGATGCTCGAGTCCGACCTCGGGGTCTGCGACCGTTTTTCTGCACAAGTCCGCCAAGACCGCCCGTGGGCCCGGTAGGGTGCACGATCGCCTTCAGCGCATTGACCACCTCCGGGTCTTGCAAGGTAGCACCGTTGGACACGCGAAGCCTGCACGCGAACGGTGACAAGCACAGCACTGACAAGCACCTTGAGAATCTGTTCGGTGCCAGCGCAGGTCTCAAAAAGATCAAAAAGGGATGAACCTCGTCGGGAAGGTCGACGAAAGCAGATTTGTCCAGGGCGTCAGTCCTCATCCACACTGCCAGTTTCAATCTACTTACAACGATCAGCCAACCCTTCGCCAAACACTCCCCACGTTCTTTTGCTTCCTCCCTTTTCCGCCCAAACAAAAGCCGGCAAACACTCCCCGCAAAAATAGAACTACACCCAGCATGACAAGCTCCAGCCTCAGGAGCCCTTGCGCCGCCAAGGCCGCCAAACCCACCACCCCTGTGGCACCACTACTCGACGCGCCCGTGGCAGCGCCCGTGGCAGCGCCCGTGGCAGCGCCGGTGGCAGCGCCGGTGGCGGCGCCGGTGCCGGCGCCCAAGCCAGTGCCCAGCCCCACGCCCAGGCCAATGCCCAAGGCCAGACCGGTGCCCACACCCACACCCACGCCAACACCTAGGAAAACCAGGTGCAAAAGCAGCAAAAAGACCAGAGGAGCTGAACCTGACATGTCAAAGCTGAGGTGTTCAAGCCCAAACCAAGAATTGCTTGTTCGGAAGTCATTGCAAGATCCCTTCCGGAACCTCCCTGACCAATCTGCCAGACTCTGCCAGACCCGGGCGCCTGTCGCAACATCTTCCTCTGACTGAGCACCGCAAGTGCCGCAGGTCCAATCCAGTTCATCCGCGCAATTGGAGCAATCGCAGAAGTCGTCGTTCCTCGGCTCGCGCCATTGGCAGCCGCGCGGGTCCCATGCGTCACTCTCACCAACAAAAATGAACGAGTTGGACGAGTTGGACGCATCCCAACAGGATTTGATACATGGAAAGAAGTAGAACGAAGCTATATAATGTAACTGAGCTGTCTTAAGCTTAAGTCTGATTCCTCAGCAATTTTAGATGGTGTGTGTGTGTGTGTGTTTTCCCCATCCATGTTCCATGCAAAAAGGGTGTGGCACAATAGGGTATACGGAGCAATTTCAGGGCTCAAGATTTGAACTCACCCGGTTGTGATTGTCGTGGTTGTGGCTCTTTTCGATAGTTGAATACTATAATTCGCCAAGCATGCCAAGTGTCACGTATTGCACTGGGATTTCGCACCCATCTGGGCAACCTCGGTTTGTTTGAAAAGCAAGAACGATGAATGTCAGTTCCATGAAAACATCCGGAAACACTTTTCAGGACTTTCAGAATCAATCAGTTGGCGCTGTGGTCCAAAGTGTGCACGTGACCACAAAGCCCTTCTCCTCAACCAGCAGAACGCTGTTTTTGGGCCCCCCCCGGAATCGCCTGCGCGTAAACCCCCCGCGCTTCGCGCCGAACGCCCCCAAAAAGCGCCCCGGTTACGCCTGTTCACTTCCGCCGGGGCAACGATAGAATTCTTGCAATTGCCGGGCATTCGAAAAGAGCTCCACTTCTCTCTCCACATGACGTCCTTGCAAGCGACGTCCAGGGATCTGTCTCCTCATGATCTGCGAGCGATGAGGAGACTCCAGACATGCCAGTCTGGCTCCGTGAGTTAGCCCGACAAGTCCGTCCCTCAAAAACCTTATTGTATCGAAACCTTGAAAGCCCAAACACCCCCCCCAAACAGAAACAGAAAAAGAGTCCGACCTCTCCATATGAGGCGAACAAACAGCAAACACTCATATATGTCTGCCACCATACATTCGGGGTCTCCTCAGTTAGTCGACCAAGCCCACTAACTGAGGAATCTCCAGACAGGACACGAGAGGATGGTCCAGGTGGAGGAACTTTCTTTCTTCGTCCCAGCTAAAGAAGGATGGAAGATGATGGAAGTGCTCGTCCCAGCCCAAAGTGTCCAAGTGGAAAAACCATCCCAGCCTTTTCACATCTCACTTTGTCCCAGCAGTCGGTCCGCACACGTGCCCACTCTGGGCTGATCATGGCGGCCATGGTGCGGTCAAAACTGCCTTAATAAAGGGGCGGACTGAGCCCTTCAAAAGAAAACCACCGAAAACCCCGGAAAAAACCAATGGCTCCCCTCCAGTCGACTGGCTGGTCTATCTGGTACCTTGGTACCTCCGCACCTCGCTCCGAACTGATGCGTTCGTTAGACCATGCTGTTCCGCCGGGTCTCCATCTGGTCAGCCTGATGCTCCATGCTGGTTCGGCATCGCCCGCCTGTTCGAAGACCAAGAGGGTGTCCTTGGTCACTCACGGGCAGGAGCGAGGGACCGAAAGCGGCTCAAACAGAGAGGTTCTCCCTAAAAGCCTGGGAGTCCAGTCGACTATTTTAGAAATGGTCTGACTAGGTGACCCGAAATGGAATGTTGTTGACTTCAGTGGTGCGCAACACAAGTGTTTGGACTTCTGGGGTTCTCCCTGCAAACAAGGCTGCCGCCACAAGACCAGCTTGAGAAATGGGGAAAGAGATATACTGTATAAATGTATAAAGATCAAACTAAGTTCATTCTTAATGTAATGTAGACTTGAAAAACCCCTCGTTTGGATTGCAGATCCTCTTCAATCGTGCTGGAGGCTTCAGGAATCTACTAGTCTGTGCTGGTCCCTTCATGCTTCACATGGGGAAAAAAAGGAAGAACCACTGCCGGTCCTTTAAGATCCTTTAAGGATCCCTTTTTCATCCGGAACACACCTGCGGACCGACCAACCTTGGTCGCCGACCGTCTGGGAGGACTGAAAGCGAGTGATGACTGGATGGCCCATCCCATGGGGTCGTGATGTGTCTTTTTCGCCCAATGGGACTGGAATAATACGAATTGAAGAACGATACCATTGCTGATGGAAAAAAAACATCCATGAAGGTAAGGAACGGCGTTCACCCCCCACAGGTCATGACAGTTCACCCCGACAGGTCCTTTGCGTCCTGACGGCTGAAGCCAACAAGTCCGACCTTGTCTGAACCAGTCCACAAGCAAGCTGTGTTGGTCCGGTCGGACCAAGTAAAATCTGGTCCAAGCGACCTGAGAGTACTGTTTTTGTATGACCGGACCCAGTTTCCATGAGGTCCTTGACCTGCTGGGAAACATCAAGAGATTCGCCCGAACTTGTCACCACCTGCGTGAAGTATTCTGCACTGAATCCCAGTCACATCACACGACCTCAAAAATAGACATCCAAAAAGTTGAGTTGAACCGTTCCTCAGCCCCTGATCTAAGAAGGCACCTTCTGCATCTGCGTGGACCGATATGGACTGATTTTATACCTCAGCAAAATCTATAAAAAACGTTGAATCCTCTAATCTTGGACCCGCCCGTTGAACGCAGTTCTCAGCGGACCTTTTCACTTTTCCGCGCCCTTCCTTCCACGCGTCCTTCCTTCCCGACTCCTTCCCCTCTGAAATGTTCTGTTTGGATTCCCCCTAAAGAATCATGTCAATCCAACGGCCCTTTGGAGTGAGAAATAACGCACACTGTTGTCAAGCCAGCATAGACCCCAAACAGTGTCAGCATGACTTTTAAACGTCGACTCCTCCAATTCTAATTTTGGTGGGAGCATCTCCAACTATATACCTATAGCCTATAGCCTCTGGCTGTTTGAGAACGGCATGTACACAAAAAAATGTTTGAACACGGCGGTTCCTGATGTCTGGGTCACGTGTGAAGAGCGAAGGGATATGTGTCATGAGAAAACCCGAGGGTTGGCATCCACTGTTGCATTCATAGCCACACGAAAACATACCTGGACAAGGAACCCGGTGTCCTCCTCTTGTCCCTCTCGTATCCTCCTCTTGTCCTCCTCTTGTCCATCTCTTGTCCTCTTCCTGTCCTCCTGGTGCTTGCAGTTGTCCTGTTGTCTTCTGGCTGGCCTGTGTCCTCCTGGTGCTTTCGGTGTTGTTACTGTTGTCCTCTTCTTGTCCAGCCCTGTGCCCCCTTCTTGTCGTCTTGGTGTCCTCCTCCTGTTCCCCAAGCAGTTCCCGTTGTCATTGTCCAGTCAAGGCTTTGTCTGTTCTGTTGGCCGCGCCGCCTTGTTCCGATCTGTGTGTCCTGCTTGGCCGGGCCTTGTTGTCTGTCTGTCCTGCTTGTTCACGTTTTCGGCCCTTTTGACCACAGCCTTGTCTGGGCCTTGTCCACTGCTTGGCCATGCCATCTTTTCTTCGTCCAACTGCAAGTATCAGGACAAAAGGGAGGACTCCGGACACAACATTAGGCGCGGCCAGCCACTGTGGCCAGCTCTTGTTTTCCCTAAGAGAGAACCCCAACAGTAAACTTTGGGAGAATTTCACTCTCCCCACCCCAACACCCGCTCTCAAAAAAGAGGGGTCTTTGGAGTTCCCTCCCCACATTTGGTCCTCCTCTGGCAGCAGAAAAAAAATGACGTGTGAAACTCACTGCTCGCGCTCGGCTTTTGGTGAAGCGTAAGCGTCATCAACGAAGTCCGTGGTAGAGATCTCCAAACGAGAACTTGGGACTAGATCGACCGGAATGAGGTAGCAGAGGATATTGCTGTTGACCTCAGTCCTTGGATGCAGCGCCAGAGACCCTTTTGAAAGCAAAAAGAAGTCATCTCATGTCATCTCCCGAATTGACGAATCCGAGAGGAGGAACCAGCAAAATGAACCACCGCAGCACAATGCCTTTTTGGCGCTTTTGCCAGACCCCAGTCAGCCCCAGTTCGGAGACACCACCTTCTTGGTTCGTGCCAAGTGTCTCGATGACATAGTTTCCGCTGGCCAAGTTGGGAAATTGAGTCGAGTCCGGAACGCTCGCGACGAAAAAGCCTTTGAAGGAGGTGAAGACCTGCGCGCGCGGTGAAGGCGCGGGTTCCGTGTGTTTCGAACATCTGCCCTGCCTGGGAGTCCAGTCGACTTCTAGGTGATGGAACTTTCTTGACTTCAGTGGGGAACAAATACAGTGTGCATGTTCAAAATTTAAGACCCCCAACCGCTTTGGTCTATTTTCGCTCTTCCAAAGGGGCCTTGCCTGGGAGGTCTCCCTATTCTAATGGACACCCGTATGGCGTGCTTGATGGTGTGTTTGGTCTTCTTCTTAGGACCCCCCAGAATAAGTGCCTTTTTGCACTGGTGAAATATAGAAAAACAAGGTCACCCAGTCGACCATTCTTTTCATGGTCTTGGACGTCCCAGGCAATCAAAAGGATGGTCAGGATAGTGTCCATAAAACGTTTCAAAGGACTGGTGAAGGGTTCCCCATCCATGCAATCAAGCCAGCCAACATGACATGTTTTTCCAGCTTGACATGTTGGTTTTCCGCCCTGTCATGGTCACAACTTCCCACCCCTAGGCAAACCTGGCCTGCGCCCTGAAGCGTATCCGCCACGTTCCTCCGAAATCACCTGAGAACATTTCTCACTCCAGGAATCTCCCTTCGCCCCGAGCTGATGTAGCGACTTGAGGCCCGGGCTGAGCCCCGGGACCACGTTCAGAAACCAGGTCCCTTCGCCGGGCAGATCGCCCCCTTGCTTCCAAAAGACCTCCTGTGCCGTCGGTCACAAGTGTCTCGCCCGTCGGTCACAAGAAACAAAGAAAAACTGGTTGCTCGCTCGGCATGGTTGATCAGGTCGCAGGTTCTGCGTCGGCGAGTTTCGCGTCGCAGGTCTTTCGGTCGGAAACAGGATGTTCCAAAGCGTCCAAGGCATTTTGCTCATCGAATCAAAAAAGACGCCCTCCGCATTCGGCCCACTCATTTTGTAGAGACATCAGGTATCAAGAACCAGGAACAATGTAATAACAAGCCCTTGCTCATATGCATAACTAGTTGTCCAAAATGGATCCTGAAGCTGGGAAGTCCATCTCTGAACCAACCAAATAGCGATTGGCAATGGCGATGGCCTCCAACCTAATTGCGATGGCCTCCAACCTAGTAGCAATGGCCTCCAACCTAATAGCGATGGCCTCCAACCTAGTAGCGATGGCCTCCAACCTAATATGCAAATACCCTCATGTCGCGCTGATCCTTTTCACTGCCTGGATGGCTGCGGTATGAGGTGTCATATTTCTGCACCCCCTGAGCTGCACGACTTCAAAAGTCAGTAGCGGAGTCTGGACCTAGGGCCAACATCTCTAAGTTAGTCCTTTGTGGCCAGCTCTGCCACTTCTGAAGAAACCCAGCCTCTCAAGGTGTGAATGGATCACCCCTTTTGGCTGAACTTTGGTGACCAAGTCCGAGTCATTGACTTTTCCAGCCACCTTTCCCACTTCGAGCTCCTTGTTGAAGAGCTTGTTTTGGAGCCATAGAAAGCTGGCCTGCACGTGGCGGTTGGTGCCAATGCCACGGCGTTCACTCATGGCCTTAGCCGCACTGCTGTCGACCAACATCTTGACCTTCTTGGCCTCATAGCCCCAGAAGCTGATGATGCCTCTCACAAATTCAGCTTGGGTTGCAGCACGGCACATTCCATAAAATTCGCTTTCGCACGATGAGAGTGCGACCACCTTTTGCGTGGCACCTTTCACAAGCACCGTATGTCTTCACGACAGTTCCAGTCGTGCTCCTTCTGCTGCGAAGATCTCCTGCCCAATCTGAATCAGATAGTGCCACCACCTGGTAATCCTCCACCGGCTGCTCATAGAACACCCTCTTCAGGTACGGTTCTCTGACCAGATACCGCACCGCCTTCTTGAGCCTCTGCCAATCGACCATCTTTGGCGTCTTCATTGTTGAAACCAAAGTTCCACATGGATCAGGTCAGGCCGGTCGACACTCAGGTAGGCCATCCTCATGACCATCGAGCGGTAGAGAGTCGCCTGCTTGTCATCCAGCGGTGCCTGTCGATCAGCCTCGATCAACTCCCTCACCTCAGGGGCCATGCCACCCGCATGGAACCCACTCCAAGCCACCACGCCAGCCCCAACCACGACGGCCAGCCAGCACCAGCTGCACCTCGGTGCACGAGCTCCCTTCCGCCCTGGAAGGTCGATCTTCGCCTCCAAGACCTTTCGACCTTCTCAAGCGACCTAGATGCGCCAGAGCACGCTACCATGCAAATACCCTCTATGTCGCGCTGATCCTTTTCACTGCCTGGATGGCTGCGGTATGAGGTGTCATATTTCTGCATAATAGCAATATCCTCCAACCTTATAGCAATGGCCTCTAACCTAATAGCAATATCCTCCAACCTTATAGCAATGGCCTCCAACCTAATAGCAATATCCTCCAACCTTATAGCAATGGCCTCCAACCTAATAGCAATATCCTCCAACCTAATAGCAATGGCCTCCAACCTAATAGCAATATCCTCCAACCTAATAGCAATGGCCTCCAACCCAATAGCGATGGCCTCCAACCTATACAATAGCAATGGCATCCAACCTAATAGCAGTATCCTCCAACCTAATAGTAATGGCCTCCAACCAAATAGCAATGGCCTCCAACCCAATAGCGATGGCCTCCAACCTATATA